TTGTGAGTAATTTGAACTGAGTAATTTGAGCTGAGTAATTTGAACTGAAACGATGATATGCTCCCGGGAAAATTAGAAAGTGAGATTGCGCCCAGATATCATCGTAACAGTAGAATGAGTAAGAAGCAGCATCAGCCGGTGGTTTCCCGCCTGCTCGAACTGCTCGAAGCGGGCCGGCTGTTAAATAGGAAAATGGCAGAATCAGGAGAGTGTTCCCCTGCGTGTGGTGAGAAGGGTTGGGTCGAGAAAATGACGATTATAATGCTTGCAAGGGGAAAGAGAAGAGTGTTGGAAACCGACTTATTCGTCGCTTTTTTTATATTGATTGAGCACGGTGGCATTTGCTACGCATGAAAATCGATATGGTCTGATTTCTCTTTCTGTTACGCAGCTATGCTCGCATGAAAAATCGATTTCCGTTACGTAGTTGTGTCCGCATGAAATCCCGGTCCCCAACTTGCATTAACGGGGCAGGTTGTAGCACGTGGCGTGTAACCCTGACCACTCTCCCCTGTCTTTTCGATCAGTTGACTTTTTGTCAACATGCATTTTATATAAACGATATTTATTATCAAACGATGAGAATATGCTAAAAAAACGAAATGCAGCATCTTCCATTTATTTTTGTTTTAAAAAATGATTCTGAATTGACGGGAATCAATAAACAACGCATAACATATATTCAACCCGTTTTCATCCGGGCCATTCGATATACAATTCACACGGGTGACCCGGGTGAAGAATTTTGAAAAAATATTTTTACTATATTTATTATCCGGGTGAACTTTTTTAAATTTTTGTAAAAAAATTTGTTTTTTTTACATGTAAAGTTTTTTGAAAATAAAATTAAAAGCCGGGTTACCGGGTCATTCTTAAAATTTTACGTGAATCAAAAAATTAATTTTATATAGCCTTAATTTAAAAAATTTATTACTACATACAGTAAAAATATTAGCCAACCTACCTATTACAGTTGTGTAGCACTATCGACCGCTATAAAAAAATTTTTTAGACGATGTGTAACCATATAAATATGATAACAGATTAGCGAGATACCTACCACTACGATTAATCTAGAGCTCTAAATTATAGTGATCGGAGTAGTGTAGAGCCACATGCTCTAGAGAGAAGTCCCCCCTAAAGAAAAATCGGGTATAATCGGGCAATTGATGTATACAAAAGTTTCATTCGAAGCTTACAGTACAGTATCACGCATACATCTTGCATATAGTCATATGTTAAGATCTAGAACATGATAGTGAAGGAAATACATTGGCCATAGTCAGCCTAATTTTGGATGGATTTTATCTTTAATCGACATTACTTTTTTTCAATACGTAATACTTCCCCTAACGCCAAAAAAGTCAATATATCGGAATTATAACTATAATTGAATTCCGAAACTAATAAAATATATTGTTCTTTTTTTAGATTATAAATTATAATGAAAGTATAGAAACTTCAAATCTAAACCCCTTAAGTCCACGAAGGTTTTCATACCTATCAAGTCGTTTTGTTAACTGCAAAAAAATGAACTATGCATAATTGCGTTCACATAATTTATGAAATTATAAATTGAAAAGGTCCAGCCTGGTCTATACATAAAATTAAGCCATTTATATATCGTAATAATCTTTGACATTGGTTTCCAGATTATGTATTGGTTGGACTAGACCGGGGTGAATTGGCACATCCTTATTAAAATAATCAATTCTAGGCCAGTCTTATAACAGGTTGTGCAATCTTATCAGCTTGTCTGGACGCGAGCATCTCCAATGTTGTAATAACGACACTACAAATAGTATAGATGTATAATTTAAATTGAATGTTACTAAATAGATATTATTTAACCAGTAATTATATAATGTAAAAATTAATCAAAATGTATTAATTCTGAACTTGAATGAAATTTTTTTTTAAAAAAAAGATTAAGTAAAAGTTGCTTTAATTTTTAGACCTCAAGTTTTTCCGTAATAATTTCCCAAAATATAATTGTATTCTAAAATTTGAAAATCATTAATTAAAAAACCGCTCACCATGGTAGGCATAAGATTTACGTATCACTGTGAATCTATGCAGGCTTAATTAACTTTACAACTGGTGTTAATTTACAAAATACAGTGATATGAATTAATAAACGAAAATTTAAAATAATGAGTAAAATTACAATAAATTAACGTAGATAATGTCATACAATAATGCTATGAGGGTAGAACAAACCAAATGGCGCGTAATATAAGATATTTTCTTGTGCTTAAAAAATATTTTTAGTGAATAAACATTACATGCATGATATAATAAAATAATATTATTGCGATTCAAAAATTGCAGTTTTGTTGGTAGCTGTGATTCTTAAAAATTATTTATAAAAGTGGGCCGTTCTTCATTCATTTTACATATCTTCATCCATTTTATTTATCTTTAAAAGATGGATGTTAACGCTAATGATGAACATCATAATCGAAATGAGGAATTTATCAAAAGCATTATTGATGGAGTTCCATTTACTACTGCGGAAAATACAAGAATACCGCAGCAAACACCATCTTTGGTAGAGACATTATTTTCGGGAACTACGTTCCCAAATTAGCAATATCAACTCAAATTGACGCCGGCTCGTCTGTTCGAAAATTATAGGCACTAATTTCTGTCAATCAAACATCGTATATTGCAATTTTATTTTGTATCTAGCGCTCTTAACGATACTAATTTATGTCTATCGGACATCGTATATCGCAATTTTATTTTGTATCTTCCGCTCGTGGTTAATTTCTCCTCATTGGCAATTTTTTTTCTTTTTTCTTATTATTTATCCTTCTTCGCTTAATCTTGTACGTCTTTAAAAAAGTGTTATATACACATTATCATCATCATTATTATTATTATACAATTTGGCGGTTTTTATCGGATTTTCTGTCTAAACCTATAATAGTTAAATTTGATAACTTTAACTAAGATGGATTGGTAACTTTATTTATTTATTTATTAAGAAATTATTACATATAACTAAAATAAGCTTAATTTTTATGATTTAAGAACATTTCAACTTTATTTGTTTATTTAATAGCAAAATAACTGATAGATTATGTGTAGCATAGAAAACATTATGTAGAGACAAAGAATTTTTGTGATATAAATTTGTAGGCTTTGTCTATAACATATATAAAATCTCAAATTATTGCTAGTTAGTAACGAATATAAGATTAAATCTCTTTTAACTCTTTTTTTTTTTCTTAGTTTCTGAGAGGTTTTTTTTTCTTTTTTATGGGCGGGACTTGTCCAATATATTATTGAAGTTCACAATATTAACATACATAACGATTCTTAACCGATATTCTTCTATGTATCATTAATTAAAATTTTATAACTAAAAATTTTTTTTCGGCAAACAATAAATATGTGCTCTAGCATTAAGCTTTATGATTTTCTGGCTTTTCTTTCTTTCTTTTTTTTTTTTTTTTTTTGATTTCATAAAATTACATTACTGTATAATCGAAGAATAAAAAATTTTAGATTGTCAAAGATGCATCACATGGTCTGATTAGATACTGCTGTGATTAATATATTATATAAATTGCAGGAAATAAAGACAAATTAGTAAATGCATGACTACGCGAACTGTTTTAAAATAGGTTTAGAAAAATAATTCTATGTTGTTAACTTTGGATTAACCAGAATAAGGCGTGAATAAGAATCGAAATCTGCACAAAATATTTTATTCATATAGTATTTAAATGAATTAATTTAACATGAAAACAAAATAAATAACAAATTTAGGCTTCCGGAATCTAAAAAAATCTGTAAGAACGTTACATATAGTATTACTATACTACTATTATGTGTATGATCTGAGATACTATATTTAGATCAAACGGAAAAAAGCACATCTTTTCTACCTAAAGACCGTGAGAATCTATTTTATGTTGCAATAAAAATTATAACTATTAATTTATATAACTATACAATTTATACTACTTATTTGATTTGACGGAATCTGTTTTGACTATTAAAACAAATGCTATTTTTAGCGCTATGGAAAACATTTAAGTAAAAAGGATTACAACTTATTCATCATGTTCAGCTTATGATCCATAATTGTATTTTTTGGTAATACCAATAATTGAATATTGCGTACTTTCATTATAAAGTTAGAAAACATGAAAATAAAATTGGCAAATGTTCATTTTTAAAATTACATGCATAAATAAATTTTTATTAGTTTCAATTTATTTTTTAAAAAAGAAGCGCAAGTTGATTAGCTTATTAAAATAAACTTTAAATTCTATCTTTGGAATATACCACAAAAAAAAGCTTTGTAAATTTAGATTTTATTAATGTGCT